CAACAAACTTCTTTGCAAATAAAGCTCTCATGAACTTTTTCCAACTTATCCAATGGCAACCCCTTTAAAAAGATCACATTTTTGACCTAAGCCCTTAGCTCATCTCATGTTCTAAAACCCCTTTAAAATCTCATTTGTCAATCTTATTAGTATTTCTTGATTTTCCTTCGATTTTTGTTTTAAAGTCATGGTTCGATTCATAGTATTGATGCTACTACTAGCGATATATCCGTGCTCTTCGACTTCTGGAAGTGACGACACCAATAATGACTATGTTCGAGACGTTTGCAGTGTGACACGTTATCCAGATCTCTGCATTCACTCTCTGTCCTCTTTCTCAAAAACAGCGGGACAAAGCCCTAGCCGGTGGGCTCGGGCCAGTGTGTCGGTTACGATAGGCGAAGCCAAGAAGGTCGCACTATACTTGTCGACATTGAGTAGAAGCAATTGGGCGATGAGGGGAAGGAACAAAGTTGCCTTGTCCGACTGCATTGAGTGTTTTGGAGACGCGCTCGATAACTTGCACAAGTCACTTTATGTGCTTCGGAAGCTTAGCGTTCGGGAGTTCGGTAGCCAAGTGGATGATGTTGCTACTTGGGTTAGCTCGGCTCTCACGGACGAGGACACTTGCGTGGATGGGTTTATCGAGGGAGGGAAAGGAAAACGGGTTAGGTCAATCGTGAATCGGGTTTCGAATGTCACGTACATGACGAGTAACGCGCTAGCGCTTATCGACAAACTCGCCACTGCTGGCCCAAGGTGCCTCGTAGATGATTAGAACTATGGCAATATTGTTTAGGAGTTAAACTATGATACGTTTGTTGGTTCTTTGTGTGAGTAGTGAAATGTTGTAATAATGTGGTAAAGAGCGTGTTTTGAATAATTTTGTGTTAGGTTGGCACTTATGTGGGCTTGAATTATGTAGGACTTGTTCGTGTGTTGTAAGTATATGGAATAAAATTGAAGTTGGTCAATATTACTTGTCTAAATATCTTTTGGTCTAGTAAAATGTATCATCAAAATTAAGTAGCTAGTACTTTTTCAATATAGTTGCTTTATAGCGTAGTTTGATATGTACATAACAAATATTTTCTAACCCATGTCATACAACAAAGTTTCATAAATTTGTTTAATTGATAATAAAAATATTATTTTTCAATTAGGGCCGATAGATCATTTAAATTGAACGTCAAATATTATATCAAAGATTGTCAAAATAATTTGTACCCAAAAAAAAAAAAAAATTGTCAAAATAATGATTAATTTGATATATTATATATTATAAATTGATAACAAATAAAAAGTTGTTTAAGTTTTCATTTATAGTTTAAGTTAGACAAGAGTTTTATAATCTTAAAAGGACTATAAAACATGAATGGAAGTCATATTCTTGAAGTATAATGAAGCACTAGATTTTATAAATAAAACTAGTAAATATCTTGTCGTACATGTATAGATGTACATAAAATATTATAAATATTATTTAAGAATTTAATATTAAAATTCTAGATGATGAACATATTACGTTTTCAAAAATTTGATCATTAAAAAAAATAAATTAACAAATTTATCATTATGAACAATTGTTTATTATCATTAGATAATAATAGTTTGATTATTATTAATATTATTATTTTTTAAAAATAATTTTTTATAAGATTCTAAAGTTGTTTGACTATGCTATTAAAATAATTTACTAATTGTTTTTAAAGAAACTTTCATGAGACACAAAAGGAAAAAAATAATATTGATTTTATAATAAATAACTTGAAATGATTATTTATAATTATGTAATTTATATTTATTATGAATTATTATTAGTTGGTATTAGCAATAACTACTATATAATATAATAAAAACGTACATGATTACACTCAATAGGACGTATATTAATGTGAGATGTAAAAAAATATTAATGATAAGTTTTATAACCGAAAATAGAGAGAAAATTTTAAAGGTTTTATTAAATAGGTTTTATTAAATGCTATATGCCATCAATTATATATATAGATTAATACAATTACAACACCACAAATTAACATTTAAACTTAAAAAAACTCAATAAAGAGTGATAAAGACGTAGTTAGATACTCTCTTTTATAATTGCTTCTTTTTTTTTTTCAAAACGATAGAATTTATTACTAAAACACAATATATATAATTTCTTCTTTTCTATTATACTTTTAAAAAAACATTTTTCTAAAATATGACGTTTAAAATAAATCTATATATAAATAACTCATAAACTAGTCATAAATGAAAAAAATTAAAAAAAAAATAAATCATCTATGGGCAAACTCTAAAATTAAGTGTATTTAATTAAAACTAGTAGATATCCTGTGCACATGCACATGTGTTGTGCACAGATGTACATAAAATATTAGTAAGTAATATTTGATAATTTAGTATTAAAATTCTAGATAATGAACATATTACATTTACAAAAATTTGATCATTAGGAAAAATAAATTAACAATTTTATTATTATGAATAATTGTTTATTATCATTAGATAATAACATTTTGATTATTATTATTATTATTATTAAAATAATTATTTATAAGTTTCTAAAGTTGTTTGACTTTGCTATTAAGACATTTTACTAATTGTTTTTAAAGAAATTTTTTCATTAGGTACAACAGAAAAAGATAATATTGATGTTAATATAAATAACTTGAAACAATTATTTATAATAATGTAATTTATATTTATTGTGAATTATTATTAGTTGGTATTAGCAATAACTATTATATAATATAATAGAAAAATACATGATTACACTTAATAGGATGTGTTAATGTGAGAAGTAAAGAAATATTAATGATAAATTTTGTAACTGAAAATAGAGGGAAAATTTTAGAGGTTTTATTAAATAGGTAAAATTAAATGTTAAGCTAGCAATTATATATATATATAGAAATGCGCTCAAATGAGAAAGAAGCACTATGAAAGAAATGAGAATAAATCTGGACCATGTGATATGTTATTGCAACGGCTAAGATGAAGCTAGATATTAATTAATTCGC